TGTGACAGCAAACACCTGGCCGCCGAGCTTCAGCACGTCAAGCAGGTTCTGCACGACAACAAGCTTCGGGTTCCGCGCCTACGTCACAGTGACCGAGTGAAGCCGGCCACAGTCGAGCGTGTGCCTGCTGTACTACCATATGTCAGAGGTGTCACAGACAAGATTGGCTACATCTTGAAGCGAGCTTCTATTAGAACATTCTTCAAGCCGCCGAAGAAGATTAGTCAGTTCTTACCATCCGTCAAGTGCAATATTCCTCTACAAGATGCAGGAGTATACAAGCTTGATTGTGAGTGTGGTCTCTCATATATAGGGCAAACAAAACGATCAATAAAAACCCGCGTAAAAGAACACATAGCTGACGTGAAGCACCAACGTTCCGGGAAGTCTGCAGTTTGTGATCATATCCTAGACGGCCCCCGTCATTACATTAGATTTGATAAACCACAAGTCCTCGCGAAAGAACATCGATTCCTGCCAAGGATGATACGTGAGGCTATTGAAATTAAAAAACATCCTAATTTCAATAGAGAGGGAGGCTGGGTACTACCACCTGCTTGGGATCCTGTAATTCATAAAATTAAAACTAAACCCAAGCATACCACTGTAAGACTTCAAGACACAGTTAGTTCATTCTGCGTAGATCGGACCAAAATTAATAATTAAAAAGCTGAAGGTACTCCGGGTTAACTTTGACATCGGGACGTCAATCACCTCAGTCCCCCGTGACCACGGTTGCTGGAAAGCAACCGAAACGTCGGGAATATAAAATAAGTAAATTAAACGCGATAAAATCCGTAAAAATAGTTTTATTCAATGTGTAGTGTTCGCGTAAATATAAGAAATCATTATGTAAACCAGTACGGACTGGAAATAGCAAATAAAATACGCCGACTAGAAGATCTCAAAACCAAGCGCGCAAGATACATAACAGCTTTAAACTTCTTGAAGAGATGCAGAGACCATAATCTCATTCCTACGTGTGTCAAGATATCTACTAAAAAAGACATTCGAGGAAGCGCTAAGATCTTAAATCAGGCAAGCAAAAAATTGTTAATAACGGTGATTCAGCAAAAACGTACCGATCTATGTTTCATTAATAAAACCATAGACAAATCGTCCAGTGATCTAAAGACAGTTTTATCGACATTTGATTATAAGAATTGCATGGAAACTTTAGACAAACGTGAAACAACTAAATACAATGAATGCAAAAATAAACATATAGATAAATACCAAAAACTAACAACCAAATCAAATGTCCAACGCCAATGTCAACGTAATAACGGAACGCAATCATTGACAACAGACGCGAGTAATAAACAACGTGCGGTCTATAACCTGTCAAAACAATCTCTGGACGACGCGACGATAAAAGTTTTGGCCAAAGGTATGAATTTCGCTATAACACCGCGAAAAATTCCGTATGAAAACATTATCTGTAGTGTTGAGGACTGTCTGTATAAAAATAATATTGGTAAAGAAGATTTAGAGGCTATACGTCAAGACATTTCGTCCTTGTTACGTCGAAGCTCAGCGCCAAAATTAAATCTTCCCAAAGATGAATTTACTGCATTGAAAAACTTACGCAACAGACCAGATCTTACGATTCTCCGCGCAGATAAAGGTAATGCTACGGTTATAATGGATACGTCGGATTACAATTTTAAAATACAACAACTTTTATCGGATGAAAGTACGTACGTAAAGGTCAAAACAGATCCTACAACTAATACGCTTAAAACAACTAGCGATCTAATAAAGAAATACTCCGAGAAACTGAATCTAGACGTAAATTCGATAATACCTACGTGTGCCAAACCGCCGAAGTTGTATGGGTTACCAAAAATACACAAACCGAACGCTCCATTACGTCCAATAGTGAGTCAGATCGATTCGCCAACTTACAGATTGGCTCAACACTTAGCAAAAGTACTATCACCACTCAGAGGACATACAAGAGCACACACTAAGGATTCATACCATTTTGTCAGTGAGATAAAAGACCTATGTCTTACTGACAATGAAACTATGGTCAGTTTTGATGTTCAGTCTCTATTTACATGCCTACCTGTTGAAGACTGCATCTCAATTATAACTAGGAAACTAGAGGAAAACAACATGCCAGCAGAATATGCAGTATTACTCAGACATTGCCTTACATCTGGCTACCTATTGTGGAAGGAACAGTTTTACAAGCAAGTAGATGGTGTTGCGATGGGCTCACCGGTATCTCCCATTGTCGCCGATATTTTCATGGAGGACTTTGAGGAGAAAGCCCTGCTTACTGCACCAGTAACTCCAAGTTTCTACAAGCGGTACGTAGACGATACTTTCACAATTTTACCATCAGACAAAGTAACTGCATTTTTAGAACATCTTAATTCCATAAACCCTAAAATTCAATTTACTATGGAGTTAGAGGCAAATAATTCTTTAGCTTTCCTAGATGTGTTAGTCATTCGAAATCCTAATAACACCGTAGGTCACACTGTGTATAGAAAAAAGACCCATACAAACCGATACTTAAACGGTGAATCCCACCATCACCCTTCACAGTTAGCTACCGTGGGCAAATCTTTGTTGCAGAGAGCACGAGGGATCTGTGACAGCAAACACCTGGCCGCCGAGCTTCAGCACGTCAAGCAGGTTCTGCACGACAACAAGCTTCGGGTTCCGCGCCTACGTCACAGTGACCGAGTGAAGCCGGCCACAGTCGAGCGTGTGCCTGCTGTACTACCATATGTCAGAGGTGTCACAGACAAGATTGGCTACATCTTGAAGCGAGCTTCTATTAGAACATTCTTCAAGCCGCCGAAGAAGATTAGTCAGTTCTTACCATCCGTCAAGTGCAATATTCCTCTACAAGATGCAGGAGTATACAAGCTTGATTGTGAGTGTGGTCTCTCATATATAGGGCAAACAAAACGATCAATAAAAACCCGCGTAAAAGAACACATAGCTGACGTGAAGCACCAACGTTCCGGGAAGTCTGCAGTTTGTGATCATATCCTAGACGGCCCCCGTCATTACATTAGATTTGATAAACCACAAGTCCTCGCGAAAGAACATCGATTCCTGCCAAGGATGATACGTGAGGCTATTGAAATTAAAAAACATCCTAATTTCAATAGAGAGGGAGGCTGGGTACTACCACCTGCTTGGGATCCTGTAATTCATAAAATTAAAACTAAACCCAAGCATACCACTGTAAGACTTCAAGACACAGTTAGTTCATTCTGCGTAGATCGGACCAAAATTAATAATTAAAAAGCTGAAGGTACTCCGGGTTAACTTTGACATCGGGACGTCAATCACCTCAGTCCCCCGTGACCACGGTTGCTGGAAAGCAACCGAAACGTCGGGAATATAAAATAAGTAAATTAAACGCGATAAAATCCGTAAAAATAGTTTTATTCAATGTGTAGTGTTCGCGTAAATATAAGAAATCATTATCGCGACAAAGATGTTTCAATCTGATTTTTTCCAAAATTACTAAACTAAATTACCGCATTCATGTGTTTTTGAGAATTCATATGCCTTTTAATGGCTCTAGATAAGTTATTTAAATCATCATATCCTAATGGTATGTGAGCAGCCAACAATCCAATGAGTTTTGTAAACAGATCTATTAAATTGCAGTTTTGGGTTTTACACGTCTGAGAAATACACAGATCAGGCGTTGGTTTCGGCGTGGATATGATCTGTTTCTTCTCAACAAAGTTTAAAGATTTTACCTTTTCCTCGCCGACTAGCACTTTAACACACTTCAATTCATCACATGGAACACTATTATCCTCCATGTTCATTAAAAATCTTTAAAAAGGCATAAATTTTCAACTCGAAATATTCATTCGCTCAAGTAAACACAGAGTAAATATTGAAATGTGAAGTGAACTTTCAAACGTATCGCCCGCGCGCCCCCGCGCTCGACTAACTTCACACCAAAAGCCCAGCTTATCGCTCCATATTAATTGCTATATAAACTATCGTAGTTATATTTCATTATGAAACATTTTGCCACAGGTTAGAAAGGGAGCGATCGTCTTCTTGAAAGCCCAGTAAAAAGCCCACGCGTGCGAGAGAGACGACTAATCGCTTAACTCAACTCCTTTTTTATGAAAGCAGTATCGCGCAGTTTTGCCGCGATCGTGGTCCGTCCACATTGCTTTGCTTTCATTAATTTTGACAGTCCATTGCGTGTTCGCTTTGAGAGAGAGAGAGAGAGAATACGAATCAGTGTATTTCGAATTGAAAGCAATCTGCTAAGTGTTGACGTTACATAATAAGGCTACGAGGTCATGACCTGTGTAAAACAGAGGAGTGCGCGGGAAATTTGAAATATTTTGAAACAGTTTACTAGTTATTTTATTAGTTAATATTATTGATAGAGCAGTTTGATAGGGCAAGCCCGTCTTCTCGGCTTCTATGGAGGCTTCGCTACCGCCTTCACCTGGTCGCTGAGTTGCCGCATAGAAAATAGACTTTTCTGCAAACCTCAAACTTTACAGTGTGAAGTGATCATCGAGGAGCTTAACTATTACTTCGTAGCTCAACTCTTCCACTCTGGTCATTAGCTAACTTGAACGTTGATTCACTTAGCGCAATCATTAATATCACTCGCCGCTTTACTGTATGTAGCTTTGTCAGTTACATTGGTTATGTCGTTCGCGATAAACCACTGATTCAATCGCGATTTATAACTGTTCCATTCGTGCGAAAGATGATCGAATGTTGATATAATGTCAAAAGTTACTCCAGTCGACATTTTTTATATAAATACGCGAGTTCGCTCGTCGCCACGTGTTGAATATTTATACACTTAGGAAGTGACAAGGGCGATACGTCAATTAGACAAAATAGTTAATTGCACACTGGTTTATTGAGACAGCGACCGCTTGGTGGAACGCGCAGCCCGCACACCCTCACACACACTCTGTAAATTTGGCCGGTTATTGCAAAATAATCTTGTATTGAATAAAAAAGTTTGTGTGTTGTAGGTGCGAAGCGCTGACGCGACTGCGCGTGGGCGGCGGTGGGGGGCAGCGGCAGTGGCAGGAGGAGGTGGTGCTGGCGGCGGGCTGGCTGGCGGGCTGCGCGCGCCTGCGCGAGCTGGAGCTGCAGCAGCTGCGCCTGGCCGCGCTGCCCGCCGCGCTGCTGCACGCCGCGCGCGCCCTGCGCCGCCTGGTGCTGCGCGCCTGCCAGCTCGCCGACCTGCCGCCAGACCTGCTCGCAGAGTCGCGTGACCTACGTGTGCTCGACTTATCCAACAACAAACTCGAGGCACTCCCGCAGTCAGTCAACTTATTCTTATAACACTTCTTTATATTTATTTTGTGGATTTTATCGCGTTTCATTTAAACTCTTTATTAATGATTTCTTATAATTACGCGAACACTACACTACTTATACGAACGAAACTACGACGAATGAAACTACTTTTACGGATTCTATCAAGTTTATTCATACTTATTTTTAAATTCCTGACGTTTCATGTGCTTTCCAGCACCCATAGTCACGGAGACTAAGGTCATTGACATCCCGATGTCAGAGTTAACCCGGAGTACCTTCAGCTTTTTCATTATTAGTTTTGATCTACACAGAATGAATTTACTGTGTCGTGAAGTCTTGCAGTGGTATGCCTGGATTTAGTTTTAATTTTATTAATTACAGGATCCCAAGCAAGTGGGTAGTACCTGGGTGGCTGGGCTCACTATTGAAATCTGGATGTTTTTTTTTTTTAATTTCAATAGCCTCACGTATCATCCTTGGCAAGAATCGATGTTATTTCGCGAGAATTTGTGATCTATCAAATCTAATGTAATGACGGGGGCGTAAGCGTAATCTTAATATATATGAGGAAATGTAATATTATTTGTAATGCTCATAATTTTGTAAAACTCAAATAAATAGCTCGTCTTCACATCGTTCGTTTTAATACCTCTGCCATACTAGTCAGTACAACATTTAACTTCGGTAGAACTCGGGTTCGATTCCCCGGTTGAACATTGAAGCACTTAAACGATCCTGGTGTACCCATCCAGCTTGTTTCAAATGCATTGAAAAACTTACGCAACAGGCCATAGTTTACGATTCTCCGCGCAGATAAAGGTAATGCTACGGTTATAATAGATACGTCAGATTACAATTTTAAAATACTTTTATTGGCTGAAAGTACGTGCAGCAAGGTCAAAACAGACCCTATAACTGATACGCTTAAAACAACTAGTGATCTAATTACGAAATACTCTGAGAAATTGGACTTAGACGTTAATTCGATAATACCTGCGTGTGCCAAACCACAGAAGTTGTATGGGTTACCAAAAATGCACAAACCGATCGCGCTCCATTACGTCCAATAGTGAGTCATATCGATTCGCCAGAAGTGAGGCCATTGAAAATAGAAAGAACATCCTGATTTCAATAGAAAGGGACGATGCGTACTACCACCTGCTTGGGATTCTGTAATTAATAAACATAAAACTAAACCCAAGCATACCACTGCAAGACTTCTAGACACAGTAAGTTTATTCTGCGTAGATCGGACCAAAATTAATAATTAAAAAAGCTGAAGGTACTCCGGGTTAACTCTGACATCGGGCCGTCAATCACTTCAATCCTACGTGACCATGGGTGCTGGAAAGCACCCGAAACGTCGGGAATTTAAAAATAAATATCATTAAATGCGATAGAATCCGTAAAAGTAGTATTATTCAACTTTTTGATATTTATTATAAAACAATGAAACAACTAAATAACAATAGCTTTTATGTATACTAAGTACTAGATGGGCTCTGCGACCTCAATACATTGCGCATTAAATTACGGTCAATTCTCTTTAACTTGTTTACTTGGCGAGAAGACTAGTCTTTTATCAGACCAGCTCTAATTAATTTTAAAAAAGAAGGTGCCGAACGCAAGACACCGGCTCATATTAAAAAGCGACTAAGCTCTTTAGAAAGTTATCGGCAGTAGTTTCAAGGTAATCATCTAAAGCTTTTTGAGTAAATCTCTCAAATATTTGACTGGTAATTACTATAAAAGAACATGCGATTTTTATAATGAAACGCAATCTTACCGAGTGACTCAAAAGAAAAAAACTTTCTCAGGCCAGCTACCCCATAGCAAAAAACAGGCTGTTACAGCGAGCACTTACCTAATGAATGTTACATATAACTAGCTATCGATATGTAGCAAAATCATACAGTCCACTAAGAATTGTCATATGTAATGTTAGTTCAAAATAAAAACTCGTATCGGCCGCACGTCTATTTATTTGAAAATCCTTGTAAATCAAAATCAACCTTATCGCTCTAAACATTTGGTCCTTCGAGCCGGATTCGATTCTCCGACCGGCCCAGTGCAAACGCCGAGTCATTCCGCGAGAACAATAGCATCCCTGAGCGATAAGCAATGAGCAATATTTAACGTAATTAAATTGTAGTGAATATTGTTTTAAATAGAGATTATAACGTGTTGTGAACTTTGAAATACTGTTTGAAGTAGGTATAGTGGAACTATTATTTATGAATTGAGTCTTGTTTTAGTAAATTCAGTGAGTGATCGGGTTATAACGAGTTATAATACGAAAAATAAAAAAAACATCCTGATTTCAATAGTGAGCCCAGCCACCCAGGTACTAACCACCTGCTTGGGATCCTTTAATTAATAAAATTAAAACTAAACCCAAGCATACCACTGCAAGACTTCTAGACACAGTAAGTTTATTCTGCGTAGATCGGACCAAAATTAATAATTAAAAAAGCTGAAGGTACTCCGGGTTAACTCTGACATCGGGCCGTCAATCACTTCAATCCTACGTGACCATGGGTGCTGGAAAGCACCCGAAACGTCGGGAATTTAAAAATAAATATCATTAAATGCGATAGAATCCGTAAAAGTAGTATTATTCAACTTTTTGATATTTATTATAAAACAATGAAACAACTAAATAACAATAGCTTTTATGTATACTAAGTACTAGATGGGCTCTGCGACCTCAATACATTGCGCATTAAATTACGGTCAATTCTCTTTAACTTGTTTACTTGGCGAGAAGACTAGTCTTTTATCAGACCAGCTCTAATTAATTTTAAAAAAGAAGGTGCCGAACGCAAGACACCGGCTCATATTAAAAAGCGACTAAGCTCTTTAGAAAGTTATCGGCAGTAGTTTCAAGGTAATCATCTAAAGCTTTTTGAGTAAATCTCTCAAATATTTGACTGGTAATTACTATAAAAGAACATGCGATTTTTATAATGAAACGCAATCTTACCGAGTGACTCAAAAGAAAAAAACTTTCTCAGGCCAGCTACCCCATAGCAAAAAACAGGCTGTTACAGCGAGCACTTACCTAATGAATGTTACATATAACTAGCTATCGATATGTAGCAAAATCATACAGTCCACTAAGAATTGTCATATGTAATGTTAGTTCAAAATAAAAACTCGTATCGGCCGCACGTCTATTTATTTGAAAATCCTTGTAAATCAAAATCAACCTTATCGCTCTAAACATTTGGTCCTTCGAGCCGGATTCGATTCTCCGACCGGCCCAGTGCAAACGCCGAGTCATTCCGCGAGAACAATAGCATCCCTGAGCGATAAGCAATGAGCAATATTTAACGTAATTAAATTGTAGTGAATATTGTTTTAAATAGAGATTATAACGTGTTGTGAACTTTGAAATACTGTTTGAAGTAGGTATAGTGGAACTATTATTTATGAATTGAGTCTTGTTTTAGTAAATTCAGTGAGTGATCGGGTTATAACGAGTTATAATACGAAAAATACAAACTAAAGTAAAAAAAAAAAAAAAACTTACTACCTACTTCATACTTAAGGAATTTGTTGCACTTACCGAGTCATTGTGAACTGTTGTACTTACATACTTGTTGAGCAGTGTGCGGTGCGAATATTACGATGGAGAAGCTTCTGTTTTATCAAAATAAGCTATTACAAAACCTAAAAAATGCTGAAAAGAGTTATAAGAAATCGCCAAAAGACCGAATTAAGAAACCTTATTTGGAAACGAGATTAAAACAATTGGAGCTATTACGGCAAGAGTTTCAAGAAGGTCATAAAAGCATTATTTTGAAAATTACCAAAGACGAAGAAAAAGAACGTTCTTATTTTAAGGAGGACGTTTATGAGGTATTTGAGGAATTCTATATTGACTATAAGTCGACTTTGAAAGAAGCTCTTCAGTCTTTTGTGGAAGCACCAGAGTTACAACCCTCTGTGTATTCTCAATCTTCCCCAATGGCTGATGTGCAGGAATTAATAAAGAATAGAGGAGTTAAATTACCTACGATAAAAACACCCACATTTGCAGGAAAATATGAAGAGTGGCAAACATTTTACGACTCTTATTCACTAAAATGAGTACCTATCACCCGTACAGAAATTACATTATTTGAAGACGAATTTATCAGGAGAACCAGAGGCACTGTTACGTAACTTTTCTACGACTGACGTGAATTAATTGATAAAACGTTATAATAATAAGAGATTTAACTGCAACGCAATTTTGAAGATTTTATTTACACAAAAGCCTATACACATAGAATCGGCGAGTATAATTAAACAACTAATAGACACAACTTCAACCTGTTTAAAGGCATTGAAGAACATTGGTTTGGAGACTGATACTTGGGACATGATTATTAGCTACTTAGTTGTATCGAAATTAGATTCTGAATCTATAAAGCTGTGGGAACAACAAATTTGTGCAAGCAATTGCCATTTACCTACTTGGTTAGAATTGAGAGATTTTTTAGAAGCAAGGTTCAGAACTTTAGAAATGATAGAAAGTAATAAAACGAAAACTGTGCAACCTAAACCTGTAGCTAAACCTAAAGTCTTCCATTCAAATGTTAACAAAGACGAGAAAAAGAACGAAATCAAATGTACCTTGTGCGGTGAAGAGCACTATGTATATTCCTGCAAGAAGTTCGGTGATATGTCAGTCAAAGAAAGACAAGAATTCATACAAAAGAGGAAATTGTGCTTCAATTGCCTAGCGTCATTTCATTCCGTGAACAAATGTCGACAGTCATCGTGCTGTAGAAGATGTGGACGGCGGCATCACTCCCTTCTGCACTTCGAGAGAGAACAGAAGGTCGAGAAACCAAATGAAAGTGATACCACAACTACAGGTATAGCGAGCGAGCAATCTAGAGGTAAGACTAGTCCTGTATCTAATGAGTCACACATTGTAACCAACTTTTCTAGTAAACATTTACAATCAAACAGTGTCCTGTTAGCTACTGCTAATGTGTTGGTAGATAGTAGG